GATATACGAACCAGAGTCCTGGCAGGAGCTTTATTGAGCTCCCGACGGCGGCAGCTCCTCCCCTCGAAGCCTACTGTGAAGCCATTACCATGGCAACTCCACTGCCCTGTACAGTAGAAGCCATTTTACAGCAGTACAGTAGAGGTCATTTTAAGGCACAGAAGGCTGCATTTTAACAGAACATTCCCCCCTCCCCAGGGGTATTAGGGGTGTCTTACCCCCACAGTATTTTTCTCCAGAGTAAGACATCTGTGTACCAAGTTTGATCGAAATTGCTCAAGGTGTTCCAGAGTTATGCTGGAACATACACACGCACAGCCATTTTAATATATCTATATCTATAAGATAAATTAGATTTTAATCATTGTTTGAGGCAAATGGTACAAATCTTTGGTTGTTACATGCCTGAACACAGTAAATGAATCTGTAGTACTTTAAAAGAATTATGCATAACGCTACAGCAATTGGTTGAATGCCAGCAATAAACTAAATGTGTTTAAGTTATATTCTGGTTCATCAGCTATCCTCAACTATTGATGAGGATGAATACTGTTTAAATAGTGTTTTCTTTTTCTAAAGTCCGTAAACATGTGCTTTGAAAAGAAACATACATTCATAATTTGTCACTGCATGAGAGGGAAAAAAAGAACCTCTAGGGCAAACTTTGAGCTAGTAAAGAATCTTTTATAAAATTTGAATGTAGGATATATACTTACCCACGCAAATGAAATTAGACAGGTGGTTAGAACTTCTCTGTTGTGGGACTCCACAAATAGAATAACTTGGAGGCATTCTGAGCCTCCTTTGAAATAGTATCAGGACTTCTTCCCAGATATTTGTAGAGTAAGTTTTGAATTTAAGAGGTTGACTGCTGGAGATTTGTTTTTATCTGTTTTAATGTATTTTCCTATGCTGTCTATCAATGCATTCCTTTCCTTTAAAAAGTCAGCTGAGAGGGATCATTGAGGTATATAAAATCACAGAAAGGCAGATATTTCTGCTCCCGTTATATTGGTAGCCCACTTTTATACATTTTCTTTTTTACTTTTTTCAAATGTAGTGACCAAGTGCACACGTTGTTTCAGACACAATATATACATAAATAAAGACCTCTTTAGTTACAGATAGCTTACGCCCCATATCAGTTACTGTATATGAAAACCTATGGATTATTTTTTGCCCAAAATACATATTACACTTAATTAAATGGAACTATATTTGTCATTTGGTTGGCCATTAAACCAGAACTCTTTCTAAAGTTTCCACAGCATCCTGTTTTTAATCACTTTGCATAGATTTGTGTCATTGCCAAATCTAACCTGCTTATCCTAAATTCAAGGTAACTAACAACTAGCTAAGAATCAGTTTATACATTCTATACAGAATTTCAAGGACTCCATTTCCTACTTCCCTCTAGTAAGAAAACAGCCAGTAAATATTTTTCCTTTAACCAATTAGCAATCCATAAAAGGACATGTCTTTGTCAAATATTTCGAAAGACCAAGTGCACAAAACTGAACATTCTTCTACATCCACATGTCTATGTGGCCACTCTACCGGGGTTGGTGAGCTCTATACTAAAACAAAAACATACTCTAAAAAACAAGAACCAGAAAGTGCAAAGATAGTTTTTAAAAGATTGTCAAGTTATTCATTCTTGACCAACTTCCTAAGTATTCTTATAGCAAAAAATAATCTGCACCACTGGGAAGTATTATTATAATATGTACTAGGACCAACCATTACTACATGGTCATTAACTACTATGAAAGGGAAAACTGGGCCTCTGCCATCAATTTAGTTCATTGTTATTAACTACATTTCAGTGAAAAATATCCAGGGATGAGATCCAAACAATCTTCTAGAGCAATCACTACAGATATTAAGCTTCTGCAGAGTAAGTGTTGGCAGCATTACTACATAAGATTGGCATGTTCTCTACTAGCAGATTGCAGCTTCCATCTATTGTCAAATGTAGAAATATATTCTATCATTTTATACGTACAGAATGACCTGTACAAATTATACACAATTTAGACTGCCAAGTGAATGTTTTAATATTTGAGAAAAACATCCATGGCAATCAATGATCTAATGCTGCTACTGACGTAAATGCTACTGCCCAAAGTAGAATTTTCTTCGTGATCCAAATAGCAGCCATAGGTGGCAGAAGTGGGGGCAGTACTAATAGAGACGCAAATGAATAATTTCGCCCTCCCACTTCCACTAAAAGTAGGGAAATGACAATTATGTAACTAACATCGCATCAAAGAGCTGGCATTTTGCCTCTTGCAGGACTTTTTTTGGTACTGTTTCCAAACATGTTCAGATACCAAGTTTTGTTTAAGGAACCTAGCAATCCAAATAACTGCAAAAACTAGAAATAGTGTCAACATTTTTCATTCATCCAATAATTCTTGAAATTTTCATGGTGGCAAGAAAACAGTTTTACTGAACAGTGGTTACACAGAAAGGAGACAAACAAAGGATTTACAACAGTTTAAGGATGAAAAAGTTAATATACTACAAAGCAGTCAATTCTGGACATTTATAGAGAAGCAGGCATAGAACATTGCCAATGGATAGCAACTGTATAGATTCTTAAGGCATCAGCTAAGCTTCATTTGACAACCTATGAGTAAATAATTGTGAAAAATGTTCCTATTGTTTACACATCTAGCAGGACCAAGATCAAGCATCAGCTTTCATTTGCCTTAGGTGATACAGAGGGAAGTAGAAAAGTAGGGAAATATTAAGAGAGGCATTTTCTCTATGTCAGAATCAGGTCTCCAATATGAGGAAAGGCTTCCAGCTTTGTATGAAATCACAAAGGTGTTTGGGGAAAGAACTATCAAAGGATAGTTCAAAGCTCAGTTCCTCTCTGAGATCTTGCAGAAGCAGCACAGTTGATTTCCCATTTGCATTCAGAATTTTGTCAAAGAATGTATTCCACAAATCACCATCGGTGGACCTAAACAAGAAGAAAAAAGCACTTTTATGAGAATATTCTGCATACTGCCACTTTCAGATTCTTGTATAAATTTGTACTTTCTCAGTTATCCTCGAATGCAGCCCTAAAGTTCCCACCTAGATGTAAATGCTTTATTAATTTCATAAACCACATTATGAGACCTATCTGGTTGCTAAATAAGATGAAATATAAAGGATCTCCGAAAGCACAAACCATTATATTTATGGGTGTTATGCCTTCTACTCATTAAGAAAAATTAAAAGCTGGCACAAGAAGTAATTTATTTCTAAGCATGGATTGGATCCAGAGCACAAAATTAAGAGTTAATATAATTGTTATGCACCTGTAGGATTTCATGAGTTCCAAAACGTTTGTTCATTTCAAAGAGAAATACAAAATTTAAAATATTACGCAAACATATCTCAATTCAGAAACACAGTAAAAGCTCTGTAGATATTTCATAACAAATGGTCTAATTATCTAAAACTACAATACTGTAACTAGACTTTTAAAAAATCTACTTTTGCCGTTTATTTCAGTTTTATAGTATTTCACTGCATGTGTTTATTCAAAGGGCAGGTTTTGAAGCAGATAAACAGCTTCAAGAATGAACACTGATAAGTGCACCTTCCTAAAATAAGCCATTCCCCCCTATATAAAATGAAGATTGTAAATGTGCTATATTTTGTTTCTATTGACTAGTTTTGGAAAGGGTGTGTGTGAGTAATAATACAAAATCACAATTGTACACACATTAAACATTGCCACAAAAATGCCATGTTGCATGTCTGTGTCTGCTGAAAGAAAGAGCAGGTCTCTTCTATTTGGTTAGCATGGAAATACAAGTCAGATTTTTTTTAGTTTTTGAAGTTATATTCTGCAAACAGGGTCCTAATAAGGAATTGAATTCCTTTACTCCAGGGCTGTCAAACCCGCAGCCCGGATGCGCCACATCCACGCCCAGTTTAGTGAAGGGGGGAAAAGTTGTGATCCATCACATGACACCACAAGTTTGACACCCCTGCCTTACTCCGTAATAATATACAGAATATAGAAATCAAGTGGATTAGAGGAAGGATAGAAAAATCTATTTCTTTCTCACCAAGCTGTCCTTTGCTTCCCAAAATTCTTGATTTAAACTATCAAATAGACTGCTGACCTCAAGAGGCTATGTGACATTCAGAAGGACAAACTATAAAACAGCAAAACTATTTCTCAATTTATAAAATAGAGTTGGGATTTGATTTTTTCTCCCATCAGGTCAAAAAACCATCTTCATCTGAAGGACCGGAATAATTCATGTTGAAACAAAAAGCATGGTAATTCAAATTGTAAACCCACATGCAATGTAACGTAAGACAGAAAAGAGAACATCACCAGAAACACTTTAGTTAAATTTATCTAGCTGAAAATATTCCATCTGTGCAATATAAGTAACAATTTAAGGACTGGAATAAGGTGTTCCTGAACACATGCAAATATTTCAATTGAGATTCTGAACAGTCTGATCACCAGAAATATTCTGCTTATATCTGCTTGAAAACTCATCATATGCGTTTCATTAGCCAGTTCAATGAAGCTGTTGATGCACATTCATCTATTTAAAGCTCACTCATAAAAAGAAATGCTATAAAAAGGCAACCTTTTTTTTTTTAGAATGCAACAGATAAATCTATCTACAAAACTGGGTAATTTAATTTTTCAAACATGAGTTATGATGACTTATAGCTCTAAGAAAGAAACCTATAGGAAATAATTTATACACTCCCTTAATTGCATAGTTGATAAAAATAAGTACTCTAAAATAAAGGCAAATAAGTATATAAACGGACAATTTAATACATTGTAGATCAGAAAGGGATAGCTCTTGGTAAATCTCACAGTGGCTTAAATCAACCAAGAAAGGGCTATATAATACAGATACTCCAAATTTCATGAGACTATTCTGAATCCCAACATGTGATAAAAAGAAAAGTAGAATTCAGACCAAATCTAATGATTAAATTAAACAATCAGTCAAATCAATCAATCAATATCTTTTCTAACCTCTGGAGAACTGATGTTAATATACTTATATTATTCCATGAAATGTGCTAGATCAGAATTCCCCAACCTCTCCGGCTTCGCGGACAAGTGGGAGTGGGGTGGGTAGAAAGAGGATACTTCCATGTGAGCAAGTATGCACACATGCAGCTCCATTTGCACGAGCAGAGGCACGCATGCCTGCTGCTTGCACAAATGGACCATGTGAGCATGCGCTTGCCTGCTGCACATGCCAGTCGGGATACACGCACATACTCACCCACCACTTCCATGACCCAGTTCCAAATGGCTCAAAGCCTGGTAGAGGGCCCCAGCTCGGGGGTTGGGGACCCCTGTGTTAGATAACAGTAAATCCCTCAAAAACAGTCTGGCCAGCTTTACAATTAAATCCAATGATTTCCATTACCATCAGCTCTCCTATTTCTCCACCATAAACCACAAAATCAAATCTGTAATTCACTTTTCTAAACCATCTACACTGTTTTTCTTGCACTCCATCCTCATCCAATTGTTATGTTGTTTTCTCTCCAGAGATCAAGTCTCCTGGAAAGATACATATTCACACTCATCGTCCTCAAGGTTAAGAGCCTCAGCAGGACATTTGTAAATGGGAAAAGCAGCTGCTTCAAATTACAGTTCTCACAGATATCATTTACAAAATAGCCCATACGTTACTGGTCATTCTGTGAACATTTTTCAAAAGTTGTTTTTGTTTTTTTAAAAAAATATTTTCTCTCAATTATAAATACAATTATTATATATTATATAGCTTGCAGAAAAGAAGGATTAATATTGCAGTCATAATGATCAGCTGTCTGCAAGAAATATAAATCCTTCCATTCCCGACCATCCAGTCAGAACTGAAGAACCTTCTTTTGAAACATCTTCAAAAGAAAAAACAAAGTCCGGATGCCTCCTGAAAAAACACCTTTGGGGTCCCATATACTTAAGTCCCAGGACCACATGTGGTTGTCACAATTACTTAACTAATTAACATGTTATTCTGATTTAAATATGTCATTCCTCTCAATTAATGGTATCATTTCTGTCATGGTGAATCTAGAATGGAAACAAAAGGCACAGTCTTTGAAATGCTAAAAACTTACTGAGATAGATCTCTATTAGTTTTCCATCTGTCTTCTTCCCAATGAACTTGCAGGTATTCCCCAAACAAAATCAAATGGGCAATGTTTCCAATGCCAAGCATGTCCACCTGGAATGATTGAAGGATTTCCGTGTTAATAATAATGACTTGTAATTTCATAATCTTTAATCAATCGAGTCATATAATGAAAAAAATAATCTCTTTGGAAGCAGCTTACTCCAGAAACATTACATCAACTTCAAATGTATTTTTTCAGGGGTTTTCTAGTAAATTATCCCCCCCAAATTAAATATTTTTAAAATAAGAGTTACCAAGAAAAATGTGTTTTTTTTTACCTGATGTACTGAGGTGTTTTCATTAAAGATTTGCTGTCCAATCTGGGTCTGAGTTATTGGGAAGCTTTTTAGTGAATTCTCAGTTGGCTGTCGTCGTAAATCTAGGCTGTGAGAGAAATCTACTATCTTCAGAATTTTGTTATTGTTCTCCATGGCAAATGAATTGTACATACTGAAAGAGAGCACATTTGCAGTTTAATTGAATGGTTACAGTATTTGCACATGCCCGTCTTATTGCTTCCCTCTAGTGTTTGCACTAAGAAGTTGCCTCATTCTTAACAGTGTACTTGATGTGAGGATAATAAAAGCAAGTGGTTGGAAGGATGGGTGAACATGCATGCATGTGAAACCATACTGGCTGTTTTGAGTAAAAAAAGAGCCATCACATGAGTCTTGTCTCTCTTCTTGTTGCTTCTAAAAGATGAAGGATGAGTGTCTGAAATGGAGACCCTCTCTATTCATGAAAGCCAGCTATGTGATCAAAGTCATGAAAACCAGATCTTTAGTTTGCAAAGAATATTTATAGGTTAAGCATATTTTTTTTTACTGAAGATTTAATCTTCTACAAATGAAAGGCAAAGAAGAATCTAAGGCTACCATACTGGCCTGGAATAATTCCATAGGGCATTGCAGAATAATTTATCTTTACCACCCTTAGATGTCCACCACGTTTATGTAGGTGCACGAAAGAGTAGTTTAAATAGAAAATGTTTTGTATGTGCATATATACATATAAGAAATAAAATTTTCACCCAAATGCTTTATTTTACAACAGGCAGTTAACTGTACTCAGTCAATACTGATTTTTTGTCCTGAACTTCCTTTTTCTAGAATGAGATCTCTGGGCAATGAAACTCATTTATACATTTGTTGTGGTCTTCGGGATTAATTGTTATAGGAGTTAGAACAATACTTGACACAACAGTATTTATAACTTATTCCATGTAATCTTTGTGTAGGATTATGTTAGTTAGGGAAGAGGGGAAGTATCTTAAATTCAGGATCTTTCTTTCCAGTAAATATAGTTCTGCTAGTTCTTCACTCAGCCCTAAGTTTTCAAACTGCTTGTTCTATTACCAGAAACAGATAATATATAGAACAGATGGCAGTTCCTTTAAAATGGTCATAGGATCACTATATTTGTAGCATAAAAATATAAAGGCAACATGCATGTGACTGACCACCTTTGGAATGCTATTAATTATATTTATTTTTAATATTTAAAATAAAATTGCAAATAGATCCTTTTGTAGCAAGCTATAATACAGTATATAAGCACCAAAGTTAATGATACATTTGAAAGTAATTATTCATTATAGTGCATCTCCACAGTTTATTGTTTCATTTTAATATCTTAAACTACAGAGGCCCGCAAATTAAGTTTGAAGGCTTTAGCACAAATTGGGATCATTATCAGAAAAAAGTTGAATACATATGAAGAAGTCTAAAAAGGAGGATATCTGTTACAGGACACGCTGGACCAGATACTTCCCAGCTATATATATATATATAGCTGGGAAGTATCTGGTAACAGATATCCTCCCATATCCTCCTTTTATATATATATTCTCACCCTTAAAAACAGAACTCCATTTGCCAAATTTAAATGGAGAAATCATATATGTAAACAATGGCCTGAAAACTGAATAGCATATAATATATATTTCTATAATGGCAGACTTCCTTTTAGTTACATTAATCCAGTTCTCAATATGTATTACCTCTTTTGGTGTAACAATGCAACCCATAAAAACAGCATTGCAATCAAAATCACAAAGCGGCTGGATTCATATTGTACTAATCATGGAATAAACTATAATATATTAAACAAAATCACATTATGAATCATTCCTGTTTGTTGTATTGTGATTTATAAATCATAGCTTATGACTTAGCAATTTATGAAAACTTTTCAATTGTGTTTTTTCTGTAAACAATAATCAAGCAAATCATGGTTTACCACAATGTATAAAAGTTCTTTTCCTAATACAAGTTTTCCCCCTCTTTACAATTGTTACATGACACTCAGTTCTCAATAAACTAGAATATTAATGATTACGCCTATATGTTTGTGACCAATAACACTGAAGTCACTGATGGCTCCAAATGGATTGGTAACCTTACAAATCCTAGTTACAAGTTAGGACAGAATACAATCAAACTTGAATTTACTGACCCAACTGTCCATACAGTCTTTATTCCAACACCAATTTAGGATTAATTATTGTAGTGCTCTTATTTTTTTTCCTCAGTGACATATTTTACTCAAAATCAAACTTGCATCTACTTGGAATATTATTTTGAATAGTGCCAGTCCAGAAGCACAATGTTTGAGGTCAATAAACAAAGGTAGCCAACCTGTCTCCCAAGAACAATGTTTCCGGATTCAGATTCCCGTGGATTATTTCTGCTTTATGCATTTTTTCTACCACTTCCAAGAGGTTGTAAACTATCAACAGTATCACTTCCCGAGGGATAACTTTATCATGCTGGATCATATCCTGTGAGATGGGAGGATAAAAACTAGGCATAAGCAAATTTTCTATCATTCTGATCCCAACTCAGGTAATTAAATCTTGATATCATGCCTACTTTTCAAGCTTCTTTTCTTAGTCATATACCTTCTTTTTATTTTGCATCATCTACTTCAGTTCCAATTCTTTATATAGCTATTTTACTTACATATGAAGGTAAGTGTGCATAATTTGTTCAACTCCTACTCATTCAACAATGCACATACTGACCTGAACAGTGAGAGAGCGTACTATCTCATGGAGAGTCACACAGCCATTGTGGTATAAGAAACAAGTGCAGAGACTAAAATTCTGGTCAAATTCAGCGCCTAAGCGCTCTTGAAGTACCAATAATATGTAGAAGTCCCATGGCACAGGCTCAGAATGCACCTGCATAAAGAATATTTACAACTATGATTTCCTAATATTCGAACTTCAACAGTTATGCTTATCCAAATTTAAGTGATCATTTTGTTATCTGATAATGTACAAATTATAGCCCATGTACACAGCCCAGTTACTTGCTTGTGAGATAGCCGGTTGTATAAATTAGTTAAACAAGTAAATAAATGGCATGCTTATGTAGCAGATAAATTTGAGCCAATATGGCGGATCTCATCATAGCAATATTATGCATATATTGCAGTTTCACCATGGAAAAGTATTCTATTATGAGCATTGGATTCACTGCTTTTAGAAAATCTGAAAACACTGTCTAATTCCACCCAATAGGGATGGGATGAGCAGTCAAAATTATATTAGAGTGGCCCACATAATGCAGGGAGACTACATACAGATTGAATTAAAAAGAATTGGTTATATCTAACAGTATCATTCTGCTAGCAAAACATTTTTTGCAACTATATCTTTCTGAACAGGGGAAAATGCTCCCTAGATAACATCTAGGATACATTTCAGGCAGATAGAACAAATGGAAGTTTCATTCTGTTTTTCTTATGCTTCAGAATTAAAATACAATTTTATTTCAACTTACTTTTCAATGAATGATTACTTTAAAAAATAATAATAGCATTATTGTTCAGCTTAAGGCAATTATAAAAAATGGTTTTTTTGCTGCCTTTCTACTTTTTTATGGTGACAATCTTTGTATTTTTAACTGTTGTTCAAATAGAGTACATTTTTGTTTTTAATTAGAAAACAATCTTAGGGGTTTGGGTAATTTGTCATTTTAGAACAGAAGCAAGAGAACTGCATTGCAAATTAAAGCAGTAGGTTGAAGGGCTTCATAAGTGTTAATGAACATATGGGAGTATGAAAGAGTTAAAGGATGATCAAAATAAAATAATTATACCTTTATTAAAAATGCTGAATCCTTATCTGTTACATTAGCTGATACAGCAGAGAATATCTTGTCTTGTTCACTTATCAAATACTCATGAGTAACATGATAAATAGCATTTCCTGTTGAAAAAGAATTGTTTGCAAAAACAAATAATTGCTAGAACATTTCATGTTCTTCCGATCTTTACACATTTAGAAATAATATTTAGGCATATGAACATTTAATTCTAAAAAACCCTACATCACTACACATTTCTAGAGTTGATATGGTAGTTGATTAATCTGGAATTATTGGGAGGATAGTACAATGAATCGCATGTGGAGGATTGCATAATAATCAATAGCACTACTTGCACGTTTATTTGTACTGTGTAATGTTTCAGAAATGCTTTGAAAGAAGTACTTCAAATCTCACATGCTGCTATTAATTAAAGCAACAGACTTTTTTCAGACATCTGCATGAGCACAAAGTTGTCCCTGCTTTGAAAGCTGCATTAAAGCGGCAGCTTCTTACAGTAGCATTTTTTTCTTCAGGCTTACGAGACAATTTGAAAAAAGCTAGAATCCTTTAAATCAGTGGTTCTCAACCTGTGGGTCGGGACCCTTTTGGGGGTCGAACGACCCTTTCACAGGGGTCGCCTAAGACCATTGGAAAACACATATTTTTGAAAAAATATGGAAAACATAAAATAATTTTATGGTTGGGGGTCACAACCTGACACAACCTATTAAAGGGTCACAGCATTAGGAAGGTTGAGACCCACTGCTTAAATAATAGTAGGAAAGCACTATGTTTTCCCAAGATTAGAAGCACATCTCCTAAATGATTTTCAATCACACACAGCCTTTATTTGTACAGTTGCCAGCTGTAAATGTAACCTTTTGATGGCACTGATATTTTCTACAGTAGTTTAATAGGATGTTTTAAATGTGACAAGACAAACAGCTGAATTCCTTGGCCAACTTTTGTGATTCCCTGTATCACTCTAAAGCAGAGGTCTTCAAACTTGGCAACGTTAAGACTTGTGGACTTCAGTCCCCAAGTCTTAAAGTTGTCAAATTTGGGGTACCCCTGCTCTAAGGATTAACTCAAGAGAAAAAAAGAAGCAACTGAAATGTAAGGCATCATCAATTAGATTCAAATAAACCATTCAGGGTTCACAAAATACACTTCATCAGGTTTGTTAAAGATCAGCATCTGCATGGTAACGTGGTAAGTTAAAACTGAGATAAAGTACAAAAAACCTAATACAATTTTATCCATAAGTAGCAGACTAGACCTGAGTTGTACACTTTAATCCAAGGTCCAACTACTTATCTGAAATTGAAAAGAATAAGAACTTTTCAAGTTCTTGAATCTTGCCTGAAATCCTAATCAAACCTTTTTTCTATTGGTTCTCTGGGCATATAAAACTAATCTGTTATTTAAAGGGCTAGATACTCTCCACCTAGGGTAAATTTAGTAACCTAGTTAAGCATCACAATAATATTGAATGCTTACAATATTTTTTCAATTCACATAGAATTCATAATGAATTCAAACAAAGTGAAGTAGAAGAAAAAATATATATGCTGGCTTAATGAAGTTTCCAACATTTTATGTATCACAATGCAGGAATGATATATTTTGCATCTTGGAAGCAGTCTTTTGCCTTTATGTACTGTTTATGACATCACTAGAGCAGAAAAGCCTTTTTTTTTTTAGAAACCCAGCATGAAAAAATAAAATTGACCTAGCGGAACCAGACTTAAGCAGAGAGCATCTTAGCAAGGTTCAAGTCACCCTTTCTTTAATTCCCCCAAATTAACAAAATATTAAACAATTCCATACATTGTAAGGGGACTGCAAATATGGGGTTACATGCTGCCCATGGCTTTTCCACTCTCCCTCTAGACTTTCTTATTAAAACAGATTATACCATAACAAGACTATAATAAGTCTCACCTAAATTAACTTCTTTTTCCAATTCTATCCAAGGCATAATTTGATCCTCCTGTTCAAAGCCAAATGCCTCGGTCAAGAAATCTGGAAGAGGTTGCAACAACTGTTTGCGTTGTTCAGCATTCTGCAAACCCTCAGAAGAGTCATCTAAAAAAAAACCAAAACCATAATTTGTCAGATAACAATTCCATACAGCATAGTAATTTTCTTCTATAATAATTACATAAAGGCTGTACCACTTCTTCCAAGGCCAGTATCATAATATCCTCCCTTGAAGAAATGTTAATCAACTACTTTTGCTAAATGGTTGTAGAACATAGTTACAAATATATATTTATTAGGCATATGTTTTGAGCCTGGAATAAGAAAGTGAATTGTCAGTTGCAAACTCACCAGAGGCGTTTTCAACATCATTGGTGATTTCATCAGTAGTATCAATCAATTCCAATTTCTCCGGAATTTGTTCCAATTTAACAGTAGAGATTTGTATTGGGGAACTTGATGATGCCGAAGATCTGGTATCTTCCACACTTGCCTCCAAAATTGGACTATGCATAATTGGAAAACAACTGTATCAAATTTACACTCTGCAAATTTATTCAAGCTGCCAAAAACTCCAAAGAGCACACATTTAATATCATTAATGTACTGAAGCCACTTTACTCCAGAGCTGCAGATAACATTTCCCAGCAGTTTCACATACAGATATTAAAAAGCATGGGAGAAAAGTGTTTAATGCATTATTTTAACACAATCCATGAATTATTATTAGTAGCAGCAGCATTCAAATAGAATTTTGTCCTGAAATTCTACTTATGAAGGGGGCAAGGTATAGGCCTCAAGTCTACACAGAATTTTATATAACAGAAATTCTTAGATACAGCGATGATATATAATTCTATTGATATTCTCATCAGCAAGTAGAATTTATTTCTAATTTTATAGTAGAACAGGTAAGCAACCTGGAGAATATCGTGAAATTCTGTAAATTATATAACCACAATATATGCAACCAAGACAGCTGTATGCTCAATCCTATATAAACGTTCAGAAAGTGTTGACCTCCCAACTGAGTTACCTCAGTTTTTTCACATAGATGGACTCCTCATACTGTCCTTCACAAACAACTGTTTGTTGATTCAGAAGTGTAGTCTTAGACTCCAGACATTCTTGCTCTAGTTTGTCACCCAGATGATTCCTCTGTTCTGTTATTTCATGGAAAGGTGTTGATACTAGATGGGCAGCCCTAACAAAATCACATGTATCTTCAGGATTAGGGAAAAGAGTTTTGTTCTGATATAAGCCTGTGACAATTGCATCTTCACTCAAGGTTTCAATTCCTTGAAATTTGTCCTACAGAAAAATGCAGAAGACATCACAGCATGAGTATCTCTGAGAAGTTTGATTCTGGGATTCAGATAGGCTTTGCAACACAAAATAATTGGTTTGGAATTCTATTAATATAGATTTATCTCCTAAACCATGAATCTCAAACACATAGAGTAGATTTTGTTAGTTATTTTGAACAATTCTAAATAACCAAAAACAAGTAAGTTGTTAAAGAAAAGTGAGTTTTGGTTCTTTAAAACTATTATGATAGCTGGCAAATATATTTTCCTGCTTATTAGACTATATCTAGAATTATGCTTACCTTTTATTTTGTGCCACACTATTTTCTGAAATATACTGATGCCTAGTGTAAACTGAACAGCTTTCATATTCTATTCATAGACAGACAAATATCAATATATAGACAGGTATTGATATACAGTTTGCTCATTCAGAGTCAATTAAATGAAAATGCTATACATTTGTTAACATCTGCATGTACATATGTGTAGATAGACAAAAGCATCACCTACTAATAAAGAACTTTATCTTGGGATTGTGCAGAAAACATATAAAAATGATTTGCACTTGGCTTAATCTCAAGCAGCCTTTAGAGTGAAACCTGAACTAATGAATCATATTTCTTGTAAAAGTGATTTATCCCTGAAAGATGCAAAATAATAGGGGTGGGTGGGGGAAAGGTCCTAGTAAGTCTCCTATCATGCACTACATTTGACAAGTTGCCAGTATATAATTTCTGGTAAATTACCTTAAGTGGAGTGCAGCCTTAATCAAAAACATCTATTTTTCAGGCTTGAAACGAAGCTTTTATATGTAGATGAAACTTAAATTGAAAATCATCAGTTGTTAAGAAACAGGTTTACAGATCCAGCTCAGACATCTGTCCCTAGACCAGAGGTGGTATTCAGCAGGTTTTAACCAGTTCTGGAGAACCGGTAGTGGAAATTTTGAGTAGTTTGGAGAACTGGTAAATATCACCTCTGACTGTCCCCACTCCCATCTATTCTCTGCCCCCCGAGTCCCAGCTGATCGGGAGGAAATGGAGATTTTGCAGTAACTTTTCCCTGGAGTGGGGTGGGAATGGAGATTTTACAGTATCCGTCCCCTGCCACGCCCACAGAACTGGTAGTAAAACAGTTTGAATCCCACCACTGCCCTAGACCTATCTATGTATTTTTAAATATGTACATTCACAGATGCAAGGTGGTAGAACCCTAAATTTGTTGGCTTGCAGTCTGCTAATACATGCAAGCATATTTTTTATGAAAGTAGTATTTTAGAGGCAGGAAGATATAATGGATTTTTAGAGCAAAATATATTCATAATATGCATCATACAAACTATGAACACTTACCAAATTTGCAGGAGCTACGTTTTCCTTAGCAGTGACACTTTCTGAAAGTTTGCGGGCTGCGAGGGGATGACTACCATTTGCCAGTGAAAGGCCAAGTGAAAAACTAAAAGATAAAACAAATGCCTATTTTGATGACACTGAGCATTCACTGAATTCTAGAATGTTATTTAAAATACCAGACTTGCAACGTGCTGAAATATACCATTTATTAATATTTTAAAAATTTAGATTTACCTGGGAGTCTTATTTTCTATAGCAGATGACTCATCAAAAATAGAGAAAGGCATAGAAGTCGCAACTGGACAAATCTCAGCTTCTGAAAGATAAATAGTTGAGTTTTATGGTGGACAGCTTAGTATTTTCCAGAGGCTGAGTACATTAATATAATTATCAAGAGCACTTTAATATCCTATCTCTAAATTCACTGACTTTATAATTTTTTTCTGAAACTGGTATCGGCTCACAAGCAGATTGCATTATTATAGTAAAGAGAATTACATCTCACTTTTAAAAAATTCTACACAACTTTTGTCAATTATAACAGTTAACAATTGTCAGTCTTCCAGCATAAAAATTAATACAGGGATCCAGAAGTTTATACCTGAATTGGCTCAAATCCCCACTCATATTCAGGTTTATCGGCCTAAACACCATAACAGTCTCAGTCTAACCCTGACTGAGTCTAACAGGTGGCACACGGAGTCATATCTGCCAGCATGTGAGCGGTCAGCTCCAGCACGCATGTGCACACCGGCCAGCTGATTTTCAGCCTTCCGGAGGGCATGGGGAGGCTGTTTTCACCCTCCCCAGGCTTTAGGAAAGCCTTTAGAGCCTGGGGAGGGTGAAAAATGGGACCAAGGGGACAACCAGAAATTCAGAAAGGATCTGTTTCTGGCTTCCGGAGGGCCGTTTTCGCCCTCCCCAGCCTCCAGAGGCTTTCCTGGAGCCTGGGGAGGGTGAAAACAGCCTCCCCTGGAGGAAATAAACAAGCTCAGCTTGGAGGCGAGTAGTGCAGCGCAAATGGTGGTGGTTGTGCACATGTGCGGGTGTGCTTTGCATTATGTGTGCTGGCCTTCACATGCGCACCCTGGCATTTTTGGCACCTAACAACAAAATGGTTAGCCATCACTGGTCTAACCTGTTTAATTGCTATGAAGAAACCATATCGGAAATAAGGCACTGTAGGTAATCCTCACTTAGCAATCATAATTGTGACTGGAAATTTGATTACTAAACAGAAAGTCACACAATTACAACAGACTACAACCTTACTTCCCCTTCAATTGTTAAATGATGCAATGCAGTTGCAATACATGCAATCACGTGATTCCAACATATTTTATGTTCATTTGTCCACATTCTCCAATTACATTGCTTGCCACAAGTGATCACAAAACACACAATGGTGATCATATGACCAGGAGCATTGCAATAGGCATAAATTCACGCAGGTCACAAAGCATGCAAATCAGTTATGAAATCATAGGATGCTGTGATAGCTATAAATGCAATAATTGGTTATAAGCTTTTCACTGTTTTAATTTCAAATGGTTGCTGCATAAGAATTGTCTGTATGTAAATCTCTCTCCCAGACAGTGTGAGATATAATTACAATAGTCATTCCTAGTCTCAGAATTCTTTCTCTTATTAGAAAATAAAAAAGTATCATGCCAAAAACTGGCTTTTCCACTAAAAGTCCTTAACAATATCGTTACGTGATAGGTGATTTTTTCTGCCATTTTCTCAATGCCCATAGGCTTTAAAGAAACCTTTGAGCAGCTGCCAACTGCTGCTGTTTGTACTTTGTTCTAGTCTTTTGTATCCATTTTCCTCAAAGATACATTCAGATAAATATTTCAAGCAGATTAGAGACACACAGATGGCCAAATCCCTTTTCAGACAATCAAAGCATCCACCCAAGTTTTCCAGATTCAGCCTCTTTATAAAGGAACATAGGAAGAGGGGGAAAAGGTCCATAAAATGGTTACATGCTTTCCCATCAACACCATAACATTATATATTTGTATAAACTTACAAATATAATTTGAGATGCTGCATGATTAAATTTGGTAAACTAGGTGAGTGCCTGTTTAATGGCTGGGATGGAAGCAGTATGTCCCTCACTAGAACTGAAGAATTTCTTTCCCTGCAAAGCAAGCTAACGAAGGAAGTTTAAATTGCAATTTGATTATTTTCATGCTCTCAAAAAAACAAAACAAAAAACCCTAACTCACTTTACCAGTAGGTAGGAGATTCATATAAAAATACTTCCCATCTTCCCTTTGGTTGGACTCATGATTGTATTTAAAAAAAAATCTATAAACATAACTTACCATTTGAGTTTGAATTCTTGCACTGATTACTTTCAGCCAAGTCAAAATTGCTTTAAGATGACAGGATGTAAAACAGAAAACGAGGTTAATAAATAGATCTACTAATACTTATTTAAATGTATGTGTGTAAGTAATCACTTGTTTCAGCATAGAATTTTGAATTATTGGCTTTTTAAAAAAAGATCTCTCTTTCTTCCTCCCTCCCTCCAGCAAAGCAATTTTCCTATTACCTTTTTATAGAAAAACACTCTGGAAGAAATCCTTCAACAACTGCTTCAGTATCTAAAACATGTTGCTGTTCAGTTGGGGAAAATTTCAAATCCTTTGATATGGCAGAAAATACGGCTGCAGCCTCTTGTTCTACTTGTTGCTGTGATTGTTAAATAAATAAAAAAATGACAACATGCATTAAGAATAATGCAAGTGCACAGAAGTTAAATAATAAGCAGATGGTAAAGCCAAACTAGAATATTACCTGAGTGCCTGATTTCTGCTTATTTTCTTGCTGCTCTCTCACTACTTTTTCCATTTCTTCAATCTTTCTCTGCAACTCAGCTTTTTTTTGCGCTAAAGCCTCCAGTTCTTTATATGAAAGAAAATCAAGATATAATCTTCATAGCAAAAAGCTGTGTAGCAAAATGCTACAGAGATTGCATTAAAAAACTGCTCAAACTGCTATGTAATATATAATTCCAGCTACTCAGCATCGTAACGCCAACAGCATTCTCTAGATCTTTAAAAAAGAAACTTAGAAACAGGCTGCCATATATAATGGCTGCACTGTATGTAACCCCATTCTAAAGCATAATTAAAATAAACATATGACTCCTATGCCACAAAATTGTTGTGTAAAATCAATACAAAAAAGGATTTGCAAACTAGCACAAATATTCTGGAATAAAACAAAAGAAAATAGTTTTTGTACAATTTTAAAATCTTCCATTATTTTTGTTTAGAAAAAAATGACTTGGGCACATAAAGGCATGTCTTGCCACTTATATTTAAGGGCACATTAGAAAATAAAAATTGCAGCATTCTTATTCCAGCTTAAGGAAAACCTCTACCGTGGGATGGGGGAAAGAGTACCTTTTTAATAAATACGTGCCATATTTCAGTGGCAGGACAGGAATGGTTTCAACTGTAGAATAACCCAAAGGTGCTTTTCAAATCTCTTTCAATCATATGATGCTAAATATAGCAACCTTTGGAAATTATCAGTGCATTCCCCTCATAACTCTTAAAATACAGACATTTAGCAATTGTTTATGTTTATTAACATTTATAGGCCGCCCTTTTCCCTGAGGGGACTCAGGGCGGCTTACATAAAATGGGGGAGGGGGGGTACAAACAATAGACACAAAATAGTACATTCTGGAAGTTTCTTTGTAATTTTTGGATCTAATACCTTCCCTTCTCTTTTTTCTGTAGATTTCAACTCTAATCTCTTCGAAGGAGAACTCCTCTACTCCAGCATAGACTCTCTCTTTACAATACATGGGCTGTTCTTTCTTTTCCTGACCATCTTGATGATGGCTTTGCACACGATGTAGTGGATCCTCCTCTTTTCCAGGTTTTCGGGCACTTAATACAGAGTTAATGCTGGACTCTATTTTGTGAGGAGTCCTGAAAGAAACATGGAACAAAGAGAGGATGGACCAAGTATAAATAATGAAGGAATTAGGGTTATTTCCTAATTTCTTTTTGTCATAAAAGAAAAGGTACATGAAAACCCCAGTCTCTAATGAAAAACAATTGTTACAAAAATTTATAAGAGAAATTACATGATATTTTTTCCCAGAAAAATAAAAGTAACAGCAAGCAGCTTTGGAAGAGATGGTGGAGGGAACATAGGTGTAATTTCCAAACTGGCTTCCACTTTGAAAACCTATGCTCCAAATCTGAGCAAACTTAAGTTCATCATAATCCCAGTTATCAATAAGTTTGGAGTTAAAAAAAATCTCTCCAATTTATTCCAAAGGTAAAGAAAACACATGTGAAAAAAAAAGTGGAGTTCACATAAGCTGATCCTTCATAAGAGAACAGGGAAAGCCTTGGTTTTAGAAAGGCCTGTTTTTGCATTTCCTTTGAAAGGATGTTTTTTGTCCCCATAAAGTCGCCACTAATTGTAGTTTGTATGGAGGGAACTTTCTGCAACTATACCAATGTCTTCTACAGAAGAGGTGTTCAAACTTTTTAGGGCTGCATTTCCCCCACACCTATTCCTCAGCTTGTAATGAGGCAGTTATTGATTTCTATATTATTGCCCATATTTGCCAATAAAAATATTCAGAGCACCCAACTGACTTTATATTATGGGTACAACGACAGGCCAAATTTTCAAATAGGAAATTTGTTTTGCTATTTACAACTACTGATTTGGCAAGCAATTAACACTTCAAACAATATTATTCACATAGCATCCTAACACAATCACACTCATCCTTTCCCACATGAGGACTACTTTATTTAGCAAATAATATATCCAGATAAATATACAACAGTAATTCTGAACAGTACAAATAATCAGAAAGGAATACAGTAGAATACTGGGAACAAAACTAACCCTCCAAAATGTTTAAATTGTCCCTCATTATTCCTTACAAGCAGTTCCATCAAAAAGACACATACAAATGGTAACACTCACTACTGAAGGAGTCAGTTACATCTCATAAAGTAAGTAAGGGTAAGTAAATATTTACTGCAAATTGCTCTATTCCTGTTTCAGGGCAAAATTACATTCACTGGGGGTTTTTTAGTTTCATTTTTGGAGGCTGGAAGAAAAAGTATTAACATATCTAAACAATTTATCCTTTGACCTAGAAATGAGAAGATGATTTTTGTTCTTTGGGATTACACAAAATAAAATAATCTCTCAAAGAAAGACAGTTCCCATATGGATCACTTTATTCTCAGATTTCTTGAGTAAGATGACAGAATAGCAGAACCCACTAGAGAAGATTTATAAGAGTACTTTCTACCCTTACTCAGTTATTTAATAGTCTAAGGCTGAAATCTTACATGGCCTGCTGCTGTGCAGTCTCTTCAACATATGGAGTAAAGCTGGGGGTTGCAGCAGAAGCCACAACACTGGAATCCATATTGGATCGAGGACGCTGAAACAAAAGAAAACCATTTTTATGTTAATACATCAACTGATGGACCGTGTTTGATTTGTAGATATTTTATCTATAGTTTGATTAATAGACAGTTGATGTAAGCAAAGCAAAAAATGTACTTATGTCACATTTATAAAGTAATGCAAATAAGCAGAAAACATTCATAATACCTTGAAAATTTGTGGAGCCTAAATAGTTATTGGGGGAAGGTTTAGAAGAAACCTATCCAAAGACAGTGCTAAGATAACAATGAATCCTTAATAATAGGTTGTTTCCCCCCCTGAAGAATACATCGTTGTTTTACATTGACACACTATATATATTTCAACAGCATTAAGTAGATTTCCTATTTCTTACCCTGCCTGTGGTCCAAGGACCTGCTTTCAATTCATTCTCCTTTGATTTTGTGGGTGGAGGAGCAACCCAAGGCTGTGGTGTAAGTACTGGAAAATCAGGTGTAGAATCTGCAACTTTGTTTTCATCAAACACAGAAAAGGTGGGACGAACTGATGCTTGCTGAGAAGGTGGGTTTTGGAAACTCTGTCCTTGGCTTGGGACTACAACACATCATTGCATAATGAAGTTATCAATGTTTCATAAATAATTGGCAAATTATAATAGCAAAACAACAACTTACCTCTTACAGCATTTCCTACACGGCTAATTGGGGCTTTTATGATTCTCTTTCCTCTCCCCTTCAGTTCTGCCAGTGTGGTTCTCTGTGGTTCAGAAACAGTACTGTCCAACTGCTCCTCTACATCACAATCATTTCCTAGCTCTTCCAAAACCTGTCGAGACACACGGGCTTGGAATTCCCTACAAACAGAAACAGCAAGATTCCAGCTATCATTCCTGCCTTTTTGCTTCCTAATGAAGCAGTGTCTGAATCCAAAATAATCTATGCAAGGAGATTTCTTGCAGCAAAGTACCTCCGCTAAAACCGGTCAGTCCTAGAGATCAAACCTAGCTGCTTTTTAGAAGGCCAGATCCTGAAGATGAAACTCAAATACTTTGGCCATCTATCGTATTTTTTGGAGTATAAGACGCACAAGGGTTTTGAAGAGGCTTTTTTTTAAAAGTAGGTAGGTAGATAGAGGGATAGAGAGGGAGAGAAAGAGAGAGAAATAAAGTAGGTATGTAGGGAGAGAGAGTAGTTGGGTAGGTAGGTAAAGGGATAGAGAGAGAGAAATATAGAGATGGAGAAATACAGTAGGAAGGTAGGGAGAGAGTGTAGGTAGGTAAGTAGGTAGAGGGATAGAGAGAAATAGAGATAGATAGATAGAAATACAGTAGATAGGGGGAGAGAGAGTAGTTAGGTAGGTAGAAAAAGGGATAGAGAGAAATAGATGATAAATACAGTAGATAGGTAGGGAGAAAGTGTGTGTAGGTAGGTGGGTAGGTAGGCAGAGGGATAGAGAGAAATAGAGGGGGAGAGATTCAGTAGATAGGTAGGTGTTTCTGCTGGCACAGCACTTGATTAATGTAATTCTCATCAATTAGTAAAAGAGGTTTCAAAAAAGGGGGGAGTTTTTGCACTTTGCCAACCTCCCAAAAACGGCCCGTTTTTTGCTCATTTCTGCCCTCCCCAGCCCCCAGGAGCTCTCTGAAAGCCTCCCTAAGGGTATGCATGGCTATTTTGGTGAAAGGGGCGGGACGTCAGGAGGCAAAAAATGCTGTGTTCAGTGTATAAGATGCACCCAGATTTTCAGCCTCTTTTTTGAGGAAAAAGGTGAGTCTTATACTCCAAAAAATACGGTAATGAGAAGGAAGGACTCACTGGAGAAGAGCCTAATGCTGGGAAAGATTGAGGGCAAAAGGGGATGACAGAGAATGAGGTGGCTGGATGGAGTCACCGAAGCAGTAAGCCTGAGTTTAAATGGACTCCGGAGAATGGTAGAGGACAGGAAGGCCTGGAGGAAGGTTGTCCATGGGGTCGCAATGGGTCGGACACGCCTTCGCAACTAACAAGAAATTCCGCTAAATTCTTCCAGTGCAGCCATGCAATTATCATTCCTATTCAAAGTCCGGTAGCATTTTGGTTAACTAAATTATTAAAATGCAAAAAACTTTGTAAGCTGAAACTCACTGCATGGGGCATACAATGGCTAATGTGTGATTAAATTGGGCCAAAGTTTTGGGGGGAGGAAGAGAGGTTGATTATGCAGTTGCAGGTTACATGCAAGGCAGATTACAAATACTTTACCAATTAACTATTACAATGGGCTAAGAAAAACTGTGTTCAATTAATTATCTATAAAGTCAAGCAAGCACCTCTCAATTTTCATCAATTACCTATGGTGGGACAATAATTTATCCAAAGGCTCTGCTTTATGAAGGATCCCTTCCTGGAATATCACATCAGCTTTCTTGTAATTCTCTCTTGCCTCCAGTTCTTCCGCCCAAGTAATGTAAAGTTGTGCTAGTGAAGTGCCTATCGCCTGGCTATGTAGATAGCTATAAAGATCCAAAGGTTCACTGCAACAGTTCCCCTAAAAAACACAATGAAGAAAAACAATGCTCATTTATAAACTATTTTTCAAAGAGGAATTCAGAATTCAGTAACTTGAAACTCCATATAGCTCTATGTCTAGTCTTTATATCCACAGATAAAACAGACATTACAATAATTCAGAAACTATTCAGAAAGGTGTTTTGTGATAAATGCAGACCTAAACATTTTTACTCTGAGAAGTGGTTTCAGGTGATAATGGGCAGGAGCATGAAACAAAGCTAAGAGATTTATTTGGCTATGGAACATGCAAAAAGAAAAGAAGGACTTGGAAAATCAGAGATCAGTGAGTTGATCCTTGCTGGGATATTGATGGCTGAGGTAAAGAACAGTGGAGGGCACATAAGACACACAGAGGATGGAATTGGAGTACAGAGGAGTGACATTTCACTACTTTGCTCTACTCAGGCCGCACATACCCTCCAATTTTGTTTTGGCTGAAACCTAGTACACCAAAATTCTGAGTTTTGATTCTGCTGACATGCCTGATCTGAAATGGTTTGGCACAATTTTTTGAACATAAAGGTTTGTTTCATACTTAAAACACGTTTCTCTTTTGCACACATTCTTACTGAAGTGAAACAGAAGCATGTCTTAATTAGTAGCCAAAAATTAAGTTTTTTCTTCTCTAAAATCTCTAAATTTGAGTTTTGTGGGCTCTAGATTTGTCTTTATTTTGGGGCTTGGATTTCATGGTAATAGATGCATTACCTTGCATTACTGCATCCCGCTTGTGTTCTCTCAATTTACAAGGATTGAAACAGATGAACAAATGAATTATTAAGTCGTAGATACAGACATGGGGTCCATTTTAGTTGCCTTGAAATATTATCTAGCAAAGGTATTTCTGTTCTTTAGAAATGCTCCTTACTATTGAGGCCAAGTAATCTTTTTTTTTCTTATTTCATTCTAATTACTTGTCTAACCATATTATCTATTTTATGCAGTTCTAAACTAATATGATGACACTGAGAATCAAGTATGTGATCATGTTACTTAGGGAATGCGGTTGATTACCTTTCCTTTTGTGCTTATTCCATCTAATAGGGATGGAATTTTGATTACACCCAGGACTTATAAATTTGTCTATTTTATTCTTAAAAGTTTAACATTGTAATCCACTTTAATACATCTCTCTGGCTAAACCCTTTCAGCAGATTATTAACCAATTTCAGACACGTTTGAATAAAACTCATATAGCTAAATCAATTCTAGTCAGGCTTCAGGCTTACTTTGGGAAAAAGCAATATTGCGTTGGTGATCTACTGAGAAATGGTCAAGGAAAGCACTGATCCAGTGGTCTGTGGTCTTTTGATTAAAAGGAAAACTTGTAAGGTATGTATACATATGCTCAGTTTAGATTTAGCCTGGTCTTGTTGTAATGCTGTGATTTTGTTAAGGGGAGAAGATTAAGCATGATTTGATGAACTATTCAGATACTTCCAACACATTACAAATTAGTGTAGTATTGCTGCTCTATGAACACATAAATGGGGACAATTCCCATAAAGAATGTTTTGTGTGAAAATATTGCTGTTCACAGCACGATAAGGTATCATATCTAAATAAAGTTTGCCAATGAACTGGACACCAAATAATATAGCATTACTCACAAATTTAAGCCAGAGGCTAAGATAACGGGGATCTTGGTAGTATCTCTGCTGTTCATTCAAAGCTTGAATAGCTCTCTCCAAAACAGCAGAAAGATTGCCCTCTTTACCTCCTTGAGGAAAGGTCTGTTCTGTCCATTTGATGTACCTAGTGATATTAAAAATAAATATAAACACAAGGGAAAAAAATAACTAGATTTGAAAAAAAAAAATTCATATTTCACTTACAAAGTTAAGCATACCTGTCCCAGATGTCCAATGGATCATCTCCACAGTAAAAGCGAATTTCAGATTCAAATGCCCTGAAATAATAATCAAATGTATGACTTTTACATTATAGATTGTTTTAGTTGTTGATTTTTCTAATATTGCTGAGTTAGTTTATGGTAAGCTGCTGTCTAGATACAGTAAATAAATGTCTAAAGAACTAGAAAAAATATTTTCAAATTAAAATAGCATGCATATAATTCAGATTTTTAGGGAACAGAGTGTATATTTGATATGCAATAAACTGGGAAAATCCTACCAAGAATACAGCAATGGTAAATGAAAAGTGTAGTTGTACATGCTTAAAAATTATTTTGAAATTACACCCAATTTAAACTTTCAACACAGAGAAAAACCTACTAGGCATATATATGTATATATGTCCAGAATTGTTTAATCGTGAAATACATATTTACAGCAGGAGTCATATTAAACATCCAGCTATTCTATTTGTATGTAAAATAAAACCATGTCTTATTTTAAAGAAAGAATTGTAAATGGCATGCATATAGTAATGAGATAAATGACTGTCACATTCACCTCTTTTGCTGCTGAATAACTGTGTGAGCAGAAACATCTTGCTGAGCCAAAACTCCTTGCAAAGTAGTCATTATTCGTCCCTGCCTCAGAGGCTGCACATTTTCTTTGCTCAATTCCCATTCATTCCCATCCGAAGCCATGGTAATTTGTGTTGGCCTATTATTCAATAATATAGACAGATCCAAAGTTAAGTACCGAAAGAGGGCAATCATAACATGTGTAAAAACAAACGGGGAAAGTGTAAGATAGCCTGTTCAGGGCTTTATAACTATAATTACACCAGAAATCCTGATATCGCTTTTACAAACGACTCCTCTTTGGGAGAAAACTCCATATTTAAAAAAATAAAACAATTTTACGTAAGTTGTATGTATGTATGCATGTTGTAACTTTACTCAAGGGATTAGAAGAGCGCTGGTATAATAGTCTAAATGGTTTTCGCTTCTCCGGCTTCACGTGTTCCTGTGAACTATTGCTGCAATTAATTTAATATTTTCCCCCAAGAAACTAACTTAGTAATTAGAGCAGCGCAAATGCTGCACGGAGCGGCGAGAGATCATTTTAATTTTCCTTCCCCCCACCCCACCCCGCGGAAATCCCACCATTATAACACACAGGCAAACACGCGCATCTCTCCTTCACCTGTTTTGGCCCAACACAACCCAGGACAGAGCCTCCAAACGTTCATTCGCCACAGCCGGAACGTATTCACCAGACTCTCCAAGCCGCTTCCTCCACCGTCTGCGTTCAAATATTAACCGCCACCAACCGCAGCAACTCGTTCGGTCTGATTGGCTCTTGCCTTAATATTTGTCGTCTCTGATTGGACAGAACATGAAAATAGACAGGCTTCCGCCGGCTGGCGTAGAACGTGGGAGACTTAACTCTTCGTGGGCGGGGCGGCGCTTTTCTAAGGCTGGAACCGCTGTAATTAATTCATGTCCAGCTAGAGGGCGATAAGACTATGATTTTATTTAAGAGATTTTATTTGTAGACTCACTTTGTCCCAGGTGGCCAAAGAATCGCAGATTTCGGCCATACCAGTAAACCGCCTTTCCAATATTTATTCTCCCTTGTCTAAATTGAGAGGCTCTGTCAGTTTGCTAGGAAGAGATGAATTGATAGACGCTGTTATTACTACACTACAGCTCAGTTGACCCTGCAACACATGATCGCACACTGCTTTAATCAATAAAAAAATATCTTCAAAAATTAAATTCGGACACATGCAGGCTTCCCCTAATCCGTTTGAAAAATTACAAAAGGACGGTTGATTATTTAAAATGAAAAAAATCCATTTTAGCAATTTCTTCAAGTAAAATGTATCTGGACTTCACAGTTTGCTCTAGTTGCATAAGTAGTTTGTAAAGTTCAAACTTCACTCTATAGAAATGAATCGGATGATTCTACGCCTATTTTCAAAAAAAATTGCAAGGGCGAATATTAATCCTTTGCAAACACTTCAGAATTAAAAGTTATATATGAAGAATGAATGTTTATAAAATTAAGATGAGACTGAGTTTCTTTTAGAGGAATGGGAAACTTATAAGATGTAGGAAGTTAGCACCCACTCCCCCTGTAAAAGAATGAAATATCCTAGGAAATATTGAAAAGGCAGATTATTATATTACCCTGGATCAGAAATGGAGAAACATGTTTTTAGGCAGCAAACAGACTCATTCTAAATAGCCCCCACTTTTGTCAATGGGCTATTAAAAGGCCTGAGCCAGTTTATTCTACATAACAAAGATCCCCCCCTTCAGGTCCATGGTGATGGGATTAAGGCATAATAGTATTAGCCCTTTACCCATCTCACCACAGGGCAGGGTGGGAAGAAACAATGCTCAATCAAACTTGGACTCAAACACACAAACTAGAGAATTGCCCCTGCATGGACCCATGGGAGTCTGACAACCAATCAGAATACACTTCTTACACAGGAACAGGAAACAGAAAAGTGGGGCCAAACAGAGAGTATTAAAAACCCAGGAACTTTCAGCAAGCTCTACTCCTTTTTCTTCTTCACCCAACATCTTGAAGCATGTGATCACCTTTTTCCCCAAGGCCTCAAACCATGTGGTCGTGTCCACCATTAAAATCATATTTCCAAGCAGCCTCCATGTTTCCAGTGTCTTTTTCCCCCCCACTTGGAGCTGAACTCAGAAGGACATTTCTTCCAACAGGGATACAGCAAAAAATGCTTTAAAACTACCTTAATGTTGTTATTTTAATAATATATTGCTCAGTTTTAAAAGGTGTCATGTGATATACATCAAAACACTTAAACACCAGTGCAGTATAAGGAATAAAACTCAGAAATGAGAACAAGTGTTAGACTAGGGATAGAGTTTCCCAGATTCTAAGCCACCCTTCACCATATAAATTCACTCAGTGACTTTGAGTCAATTACTGTCTCTTAGATCAATCTACATATACAATTATAGTATGGAGAAAATGGATAGAAAGAGCATTATGTATATTGTGTATTTCCTGAAATGAAAAGTAAGATATTATTTTAATAAATATCTTGCTTCTTACCCTCAACTTTTGCAGGCAATCCAGAAAGATACCTAAAGCCACTAATTAAGAGATACAGATACAAATCGATTGAACAAAACATGACTTTTTATGTTGTGCAGATGACTCCATAGAGACATAATACTGAAAAGAAATGTATATTAACATCTCATCAGTAACATCATCAGTCTACTGATTGTGCATAAATAAAATGCATAAGAAATGCTGAAACTGGTGGGTCAGGTAATGGAGCAAATATCTTTATTAAATTTTCTTTTATATTTTATATTTTGGCCAGTAGGGGCTGCTGTTAATATATGGAACTTTTTAAAACCAGCTCTGTTCTGCAAGATCTTTTCTTGCTAAATAGTTGAAACCTGAAAACTACAGTGCTTGTGTTACTTGGTATTTCTTACAGATACACTTATGTACTTCATGAACATGTACCCTTCCCACCATAGCTGATGTAAGTAGTATCAGAATGCAAAATTTAAAACTGAAATGCAATCATAGCTTTTTATATATTGACCAAGAATGATTACTTCTCTATTTTATCTTTTTCACGTGGCTCCTGTTAAGTGATACATCTCTGGGAAGCTTTCCCATTCTGCAAATAGTTACTGTTACCTCTGTTACTGTACATTTGTTTAATTAATTGCTCATTTTGTTTCCAGGCTGTAGTATTAGCCCAATGTGCTTAAGGTATGCATGAGTGCTTAAAAGGTGACAAGCCTCAGAAGGATGAATCTGTCAGTTTAATTTATTTATATCTTAGGTACATGATCCCCTATTAATTGCAGCTATTGTTATCTAAGTGTGACTTAATGTAATGTTGTTTCCAGGCCTCTTTAACTGTGCCAATACTAGACCTTTACTGTAATTTAGATCTTAGCCCGTATCATCCTTCAATAATAAAATAGTAACATGAAGTCTTAAAAGATGAGCATTTATCTTAGGTACAAACAAACTGAAGTCTGGTCTTTCAGTTAGCCTGAAAGTTGTCTGCAAGAAAAAATTAAAAACTGTAGCATTTACAGTTAGTGAAGAACAAGATATATGCCATCAAAACAAACAAACAAAAAAATCAATAAAGAAGAATTTGTTCATAGAGGATTTTGGAATGACACACCCACAAGTACCCCAAACCCAAACATTACAACATTAATAATATTCCTTGTCACTTGTGGGGAAATCTAATTTAACAGTAGCTAAGCAAGCATAGGATAGTTGGGCAATCTGTGATACCTGAACTCCTTTTTGTAGTTCTGCAAAAAAAAAAATTAATCCATTGCTGAACTTGTCTTTTTTTGCTACCTCAGCTTCATCTCATATTAAAGAGAGTGAAGGGTGGGTAGGACTTCCCTCCCCCCATCAGATGGTGATATTCTGTAGAAAAGAAAGGTAACACAGCCAGGAAATCCTCTGGTTCCTGTTCTTAAGATCCTTTGCACCTTAGGATAGCCTGTATATTGACAGTGTTTTAGTCATTGCACTAAATCATGATTTGTTAATATAGTTTGCATAATAACGATTGGCTCAGTTCTCATAACATGCTATTATAAAAGCCACAGCTAAACAAACAATGGAAAGTATGTTCATATACCAAAGCCATAAGCAAATAAACCATATTATGACATAAATGTGCAAATTTGGTTGTCATCCTTCTCCATCAAAAGGTTTCAAAGTATGTTCTAAAATAATAATCCTGTTTTTGAATATACAGTATGTTTTTATCTTTGGTTTCCACTCCATATCACGTTGAGTGTCAAGCTGAATAGTTTTATAAGTAAGTTATGTCCCATACAGGTGAGTGATCACCTGGTGATTATATGAACATATACTTATCATCTTGAATTGCTTTTAGTAATAAACAAGTAGCTCTTCTAAAAAATTATCTATAATCCTTTTGAACCTATCTATCCATCTTACTAGTTATCTGTTCTCAACCATGCCAAGTATATTAATGTTTTTAGTCCAGTCTCTAACATCATAGACCTAGGGTATATTAATTTCTATTTGCTGATCATTACCTCAGTGCCAGATTCATCTTTTATTTGTTTGTAATCTGGTTGATTTTTCTTAAGTTCCCCATGTCATTTGTAACCAATCCCTTGCTGACCCACTAGAGCGGGGAGGCAAGGAATGTTGAGTGTCCCGTCCCCTAACGAGATATATCTGGTAAGATCCAGAAGAAGGGTCTTCTGTGTGGTGGCTCCCTCTCTCTGGAACATCATCCTCCAGGAGATTAGACTGGCCCCCACTCTTTTGGAAGGCCCTGAAGGTGTGGTTCTGCCAGAGGGCCTGGGGAACCCAGAGTGAGATTGAACACATTAAAGGACTAGTATGACTATGTGTTGTTGCCAGAGTGGAGGGGGGGGTGTTATTATTTTATTATTTTTCTTTTTATTATTTTTATTTCTTTTATATAGTGTTTTTATATCCTTGTAAACTGCCTTGAGTCGCCATGTGCAAGTAGCAATAGCAATAGACTTATATACCCCTTTACAGTGCTTTACATCCCTCTCTAAGCGGTTTACAGAGTCTGCCTATTACCCCCAACAATCTGGGTCCTCATTTTACCCACCTCAGAAGGATGGAAGGCTGAGTCAACCTTGAGCCTGAT